AATATTTATAATGTGTATGTTTTCTTTGCACCACTGGAAAATTTGTGGTTATTTTTTTGGCTATATGACGAGTTTTGAGCTGTAGAAGGTTGAATTAATAACTTCTATGACTCATTAAAGATGCAAACTAAGTACTAAAGTGTTTCATTCTGCCATTTATTTATTGCTGCTCATGATTTTTTAACAGTATTGTACCTTTAGAATAGTTTTTGTGGTTTAAAACTGCTCTTGGGTTTTTCTGTCAGTGGCATCCTTATATGATCAGAAATATATCATCTAAGTTGAAAAACAAAGTATTATAGAGATAAAATAATAATTGTAAAACATAATAAAGTACAATACAAAAAAGAAAAAAAATGGGTTAAAATGGTTATGTCTGTAACACATTTAGTTATTAGCGTGAGTAATTTATTTTACTATATGTAAATATTTGTAAAGTTTTGTGATCAATGTACATTAGCAACCACATCATTTTTGAAACTATGTAATGAATAGGACTGGGTTAATATAAGTTTTCTTCTTCCCACTCGATTTGGAGAAATGTGCTTTGAGGCTGTTTACAATATATATGTATATGATTATTTTTTTCTCTCTTAGCACAAACTCGAAATAAAAACAAAATCAATCAATCAGTCAATATTGCACTTCAAAATCTGAAGTTGTATAAACAATATTACAACAGTAAAATTTATCATAAAGAACATTTCACTCAGAGGGTCAGAGTAAAGCGACTAACTTGTTGTAGAGGACAATGTCGGGCTTCCAAACCAGATCACTGGGAATATTGATCATCTCCAGGTCGTCGTAGTCCTCCTTGTTCCACTTCAGATAGGCATCGTGCCACACTAGGCGAATCCACAAGTATGTGGTTAGCACCTGATTCCTCTCGTCCTGCACCACATTAAAAGATAAAACAGGCCTGTGTGAGTTAATCAAAGGGAGAAGCTGATCTGAAGGATCCGCTCAAATCAGGAGCTATACAATGCTGACCCCTAGTGGTGAGAATGGGACATTGCCTTATTTTAAAGGCCACGTGAGCACTAAACGTCTCACTGTATTTTACCCAAAGCACATGCTGGACCGTCCTGTGTGTGTGTGGCTGTGTGTAGTACTTGCATAACATAAGCATTCTTGTTGTTATTGTATATTTGTTTTATTTTCATGTTACAGTGACATGTGAGATCTTTGCTCTGTTTTTCCTTACTACAACCTGTATATAGAGATATATTTGTATCTAAGATGAGATAAGATAAAAATTTATTTTCTCCCATGGGAGAAATTTGTCTTGGGACAGGGGATCACATGCTTTAACACAAAGACAGGACAACACAACAACAAAAGCACCATACAAATATCCAACATATCATAAAATAAATAAAAGGCAAAGTATGACCATGAGTGACACACAACAGGACCTGTAAGTCAATCTTTACAGGCAAGCTCTTCGCAATCTTGTATTCTATTAATAATTGCACACTCCCTAAGCCTATATTATATCTTATTTTTACTTGTATATTCTATAATTATGCCTTATTTGACACCAGTCTCTTGCTATTTTGGCTACTTGTATATATTATCATATTTCTGCGTTGTTATTTTAGGCTATTTATCATGATGTGTGAGCTACTGAGTCTCTTGTGGATCAATAAAGTTTGTGTAAGTCTAATGTGCTTTTTAGTCTTGTATAAGTGTAGGTTATCAGTGTGTATAAAAGTTGATTTACAGTTGGCTCACCGATCATCATGGGAAAGGTAATTAATGCTATTGGCCTTCTGCTGCTTCCACTACAGCCTTAGGCCCACTCCTTCTGTTGACAAAACTGGTTCAACCACAGGAAATATCTGCGAGGTGACTGTACTATCTATTGTTATCTATGCGAGATTACTTTTAGAGACAGTAATAGTAGTAGTAGTTGTAGAAATGCTTTTCAAAATAAAGTAGTCTAATTAATAGATTACATTTTAATATTTCAGTTGCAGTCCGTCATATTGTAGAAAGCACATAATAAACAGAAGGGTAAAAAATTTGTAAAAACTAAATATATCATCTATGAGGCTATAATTACTGCAGGATATTCCATCTAAAAAGACTTTTAATCTTTATGTCTGAAAGTTATTCATAATAATGTTTGAGGTGTGTCTTATTAAAATACATTCTCATACAGGCCTACCCGATGCACAATAATATTTACATAAAATATCAATAAATCCTGAGTATTGGCATGTGGCTTAAAGGGCCCATATTACGCTATTTTCTGATCTATGTTATAATGTTGTTTTCTTGTCACAAACATCCCTGGAGTTTCATTCACACATGTTTAATAAACAAATCCTGCAAATTTATTCTGTGTTTTCTCTTAAATTGAAAACACTTCTGTTCCTTGTGACATCATGTCTTCAAAGAACTAAATTAAACTCCATACAACTTCACTAGAATCATTTGGATAATGTCAGCCCTGGAATTGCCAATCTCTACTGAACAAAGATAAAAGGTGTCAGACTAACAAAGGATTACTCAAACACGTGTAAATTAAACAAAACACAACCCCAGGAATGTTTTCAATTATTCAAACATTATAGCATAGCTTAAAGCTCACAAGAGTCAATAATGTGTAATACAGCACCATTAATATAAGAGTATGAATAGGGGTACGTTTGTTTGTTTTAAGATTTGAATGATGTCTTATGAACTCACCATGTCTTTGATCTGTGACAATGTGATCTGCAGAGACACATTCAGGGCGCTGTCTGTGTCCTCCACTGGTCTGAGGGCGTTAGAATAATTCTCCATCAGGTCATTCAGCAGTTTACGGGCGTAGTGACCCCGAGCACCATGGGACACTGAGGAGGAGAGTGGACAGGTCAGCTCAAAAAATATAAATAAACAGTAATACATGGAATAAATAAAATGCTGTATTATTAAAATATTTCAGATTGGTTTCAGAATGATGAAAACGTGGGACCAATGACTTAGTCATTAAGAACTGAAAAATCCTACATTGCCCAAAAATGACTCTTCTGAGCTTTTAGCCATGTTGTTACTTCATCAAAAATATTAGCAGAGTTGTGTTCTGTTTCATTCACACAAGTTTAAGTAACGCTGCATTATTAGTCTGTAAACATCTCCAAAGCTCTAAACGCTCTGTTTCACCTTGTGATGTCATGAAGCTGTAGTTTTCAAGTTAACAGCTATGTTGAGTTTACCTTTTGTTGAGTACAAATTGGCAATTCCAGGCCTGAAATCATCCAAATGATTCTAGAGAAGGTGTATGGCATTTATAAACACAGTGGAACACTTCCTGTATTACCACATGACATCACAAGGTGGAACAGAGTGTTTTCCATTAGAGAGAAGAATTCAGCCTAAATGCTAAACATGTGTGAATGAAACAAAACACAACTCCAGGTATGTTTTTGATGAGAAAACATTATAACATAGATCAGAAAACAGTGTGATATGGACCTTTAAAAGAAAGTACATCTTTTGAATGGAAAGTCATCAAATTGTTTCATATAAAAAAACATTGTCATAATATTGGTAAGTCAAGCAGGGTAGGATAGCCTATAATAAGTTTTAAAACTTCTTCCTACTCTTTTTGAGCATCATGGACTCTATAAGACTGTTCATCACAGTTGATCTTTTTTTTTATATAATTATTGTGAACTGAATCTGTCATTATGTGCTTTTTAAATTGATGCTCAAATAAATAAATACATACATACATAACTATATTTTAATAATCAGTACTGATGCATTTGGGGATTTACACAGGTATTTAAATGGGCATACAATAATGCATTTAGGCTATTAAAAGTATATTATGAAAATGACTTAAGTCACTACATCAGATTATTGTAAATTTTTTCAAAATCTTGTCTCGTCTCGTTCTCGTGGATCCCATCTCATGTCACGTCTCGTGAAAATTCTGCCTCGTCCCATCCCAAATAAATACATAATAAAATAAAATAAATAAATAAATGAGCCACTGACCTTGCATCAAAAGACTTATCCAAACTACCACCGTTGCCCTCCTCATTTTGAGCCGGTCACGAGCTGCAGGATCAATAATTTAGGCTTCACAAAGGGGCCACGGAGCCAACGGGTGTGCATCAGTTTATCCCGCTCCCCATGGCGTCTCCTCTGAGCCTGGACGAGCCTCGTTCAGCGCAGAAAACCAAGAATAGTCACATCCTGTCAGATTATCGCGCGTCTCTACTCACCTGTTCGCTCGTCGTCACTTTGTGGAAGGCGGCGGTGGAAGAGGAGCCGGGGCTATCGCTCGCACTGACACATGCACACACGGGTCCGCGGGTGTCCGGTGGCAGACGGGTGTAACGTGATGCTCACAGCCTGATCCGTTTGTGTACACGAGCAGAATCAGCTGTACGACACAACAGCGCGCGTCCTGCACCTGTGCGCTACAAGGCCCGCGATGACAGCTGTCAATCACACGCGCGCTCATAACGCAGAGAGTGAGGGGCGCGTCGATGCGGATACACCTGACACCTCTGAGCCTCGGGTCACGTTTCACTTTGTAAACAGCTCTCCTCTTGGCGAATGTGCGATCACAGATAAGGAGGATTTCAACCTTATCTGAAAGCTCTGAAAATGGTGACCGGAGGGTGTGACCTCTCTCTGCTCCCAGCTCTGCGTCCAGTGTCCATTACTTCACCTTAAGTAACCACAACACAACACTACACAAAACAAAACAGAACACCCTAATTTTTCCGTTATTTATTGCAGTTCAAGTCCTGCAACTCCAATGAAATGCTTGAAATGGCACAAAAATAAGTACTGAACAGCCAGAGGTTAAAAAAACATAAAAGAACAAAACACAAGTCCAAACTATGTCAAAACTAACCCAGGAAAAAAAGAACAAGATAGTAAGGTTGAAAACATGGATTGGCCAACACAGTCTCCACACAGCAAATAGACTATTATCACGCTGATACGTAGTACTACCGCATTCAGTGACCTTTGTGCACGCCTACTTCCGGTGAATTGTCACTCTGTTGATTGAACTCATGATGGACGAACCGAAGTTGTTTACATAGACTACATCCCTTATAAATTTACTGAAAATATCCTTTTCCAACGTGCATCGTCTCATTGATCAACATTGAATCACAGCCCGCTCCAAAGTGGACAACGGACACAGTTTATTTTTTGAAAATTTCACCGACTATGAAGGTGAGTGGCTACTAGCTAACATAACTTTACAGTTGCCGTTCCGACATACCATCACTAAGATATTGACGTGTTATTGTCAGAGTAGCGGCATTTCCATTTTTATCAAACGTCCCTGCACTCTGACATTTCTTTATCCTTTGGTCGGAATGGCAGAATCCTATTATTAAATTCGCACCACTGTGCGTAAAGGTCCTGGTACTGCGAGTGCAGCCGAGCAGCGCGGCTACAAGGGACAGATGCGTAAGAATTTTGAACTTTATGAATGAAGAGATTACGGGGCGTTACCTGACACTGCAGGTGGAAGCGCGCGGTGACGCGCATTTGGCTCAAGGCGCAATGATACGGCCAAGCAGAGAAACTACGAAAAACTGAATTGTGTGACAGTTTGGACATTTTTGTGAATGGACAGGAGCAGGAGACATTCATTACCTGTCGCCAAAGACGACCAGGGCGCACGAGAATGCGCTGTGAAGCGCAGCGTGTGGCGAGAGAGAAGCGGTGCCGGGCTCGCAGTCAGATAGAGACACTAAAAAGATCAATGTTTTAGGAATCTGGATATTTTCATGAATAAGGGCTAAAAGATTAGAATTATACCTGGTCATAGAGAACAGAGCGGCTTAAGGGGCGTTCACACCAAAGCGTCAAAAAACGCCTTGACGCCTCTATTTGGACGCGTTTGCATTTGAGTTTAGACGCCCCCGACGCGCGTCTTTGACGCCGTGAACAAACGGGACAAAAATACTTGACGCGCGTCCGTTGCCCTGGAAACAAGAGCCCGGTCCCGGTCTTTTCCCGAAACAATATCAGACCAGACTGAGAGAGTGTTTTTATGACATAAAACATCAGCGGAGGAGATCGGGTCGACGACTGGGGCGTATATATATTTATACTCCGCTAATCACACTGAATCAGTCCCGGTCTAGTCCTGGTCGAATACCGGTCTAGTCCTGGTCTAATCACGGTCTAGTCCCGGTCTAGTCTCGGTCTACTCCCGGTCTAGTCCTTGTTTAGTCCCGGTCTAGTCCTTGTTTAGTCCCGGTCTAGTCCTTGTTTAGTCCCGGTCTAGTCCTTGTTTAGTCCCGGTCGAGTCCTGGTTTAGTCCTGGTCCGGTCCTGGTGTAGTCCTCGCGATCGGCTCGGTGATTGTGGCGTATTTATGCTCCGCTCATGTTTGTGGTTCTCGTTCTGGTTCTCGGGTCTTGCTTCCTGATAATAACGTCGCTGCGTCACTGGATACTCGTCCCTGATTGGTTGACGCGGCGCGTCTGACGCGAAAAGTTCAGCATTTTCAACTTCTTGACGCTGACGCTTTGGACGCGCGTCTTGGCCGCTGACGCCAAAACGCTCAAAACGCTCAAGACGCGCCGCGTCGACGCCAGATTCGCGCCGCGCTGACGCCGAAAACGCGCCGCAAAAACGCAGGACGCTCTAGTCGCGCGTCCACATAGACTTTACATAGAAAGTGGACGCTTTGACGCTTTGGTCTGAACGGGCCTTTAGACAGGGACCCAGAAATGTGTCGGTCCCTTATAAATTCATAAAAGTTTATAAAGAGGCGGCTGCAGCGCTCATTCTCCTCCTGCGCGCACTTAAAGTTGCGGACTTTTACGCACTCGTTAACCTGGCATCTGCCACCAGAGCAGCGTGCGTAAAGCTCTGCGCGCTCTAATGGCACAGAGCTCGCCAAATACCCTCCAATACGGGATGGCGGTTCTCTCTCTTTCTCGCTTGTTCAAGATTAATCCTGGTTTAGTCCTGGTTCATCGGTGTCAGAATGGGGGCATGTCAGGGTGGAGCACAGCACAGCAACGAAACAGCTGATTTTGAGGTCATGTCAGTCCAACACATCTCCTCTTCGAGGCTGACAGAACTGAGGCAACATACCGCTTCTGATCCAGATCTACAGAAGCTTATCGCAATCATAATAAAGGGCTGGCCTCGCAGACAGACTCAGCTGCCCACAGAAATTCGTCAATACTACCCGTATCGAGAGGAACTTACCATTGAAGATGGCATTGTCATGAAAGGCCCAAAGACAGTAATTCCCAGGTCTCTACAAAAGGACTGCATTGCTATCCTCCACAGAGGGCACCCAGGGACAGAATCTACTAAGCGTAGAGCTCGTGGCATCGTGTTCTGGCCCTCAATAACTGAAGACATAGAGCAGGAGACAACTGCCTGTCCAGTGTGTAACAGCACCAGACCACACCAACCCAAAGAGCCACTCAAGCTACATCCAGTGCCGGACTTACCTTGGTCAACCGTTGCCACTGATATCTTCGAGTGGAATGGCCAACAGTACTTGGTTGTAGTCGATTCCTACACAGAGTGGTTTGAGATAGACTTGCTTCGTGATCTAACTGCCAACACTGTCATTACCAAGCTCAAAAGACATTTTTCTGTTCATGGCTGCCCGCATAAAGTACTATCAGACAATGGCACCCAGTTCACCAGCCAATGCTTCACAGACTTTGCTCTGGCCTGGGACTTCATCCATGTAACAAGTAGCCCAGAATATCCACAGGCCAACGGATTGGCTGAACGTGCCGTTCGTAGTGCAAAGCAGCTAATGGAAAAATCAAAGAGAGATGGAACAGATGTCTTCCTCAACCTACTAAATCTCCGTAATGTACCACACGCTAGGCTCTCCAGCTGAAAGGCTAATGTCAAGACAGACACGCACTACCTTACCAGTGAGCAAACACCTGTTAGCCCCAAGGCCCAAAAGCAATACTGTTGTCAAGGCAAGCCTATTGCATAAACGCCATGCACAAAAGCAATGCTAAGCAAGTCCAGCAGACCCCTCCGTCCCCTACAGCCAGGTGAGGTTGTAAGGATGCAAACACATCATGGACACGAACGCTTAGGGACTGTTAAAGAAGTTTGCAAGGAACCCAGATCGTACATCGTCCAATCAGAAGGAGGCGAATACAGGCGTAACCGCAGGCATGTTCTCCTGGTCTCTGAACCTCCACCACCACAATACAGAGAACCCCACGAAGACCCTCCTGTGGTCCAACCATCAACTGCCTGTCCCCAACAGCACTCCGAAAGACCCATGCAACGCACTGAGGAACAGACACACAGCCGCACACACAACTTGTCGCAGGCCCCTGTCCAGTCTCCCCATCACCCTGCAGGTGGCACATACGTCACACGCTCTGGGAGTTTGCAAACCTAACCCCAAATATGAACACTAAGTAGACGGACTGTTAAAAAAAAAAGTGAAATGTTGACTGTTATAACTGTATGCAATTTGATGTTGACAAGCTGAAATGACTATATTCCTACCAATGAAACAGTTAAAAGGTTGAAATGAATAGTTAATTTTCAAGATTTACTGGTATTAGTTAGAATCAGTTGTTAATTGAGTATGCTGAAGATGTTCTTTATTCATTCATTTCTGTTCACAGAGCCATTATCTAAAGAAGGTTAATGTTATTGACCAGTCGAGGGCTGGCCCAACGTTTCTGGTGTGCCGCCTACCGAAGACTCCGTCAGGCTCTGCCTGCTTCCCTCTTCCTCTCCTTGGCCCGGCGGAAGACCCACTCTTCCCTCGGACAGGGATAGGCGTATGGCGGGGCTTTTGGATCGCTGTTATGCGCTAACCAGGTGCTGGCGTTAGCTAACAACGTGGCTTTTCTGCTCGGCTCCATTGAACACATCTGTCATGAGCGCTCGGAGCTCACGCCAGAGGATATCGAGGAGATCCAGAACACTGCGGAAGCCTTGTTGAGGATGTGCCAGGCACTGGCCATAGACGGAGGACGTTCTATGTGAGCCGCGCAGCTCGGCATGAGACACCTGTGGCTCGGCTTGTCCTCCTTCTTCAGCCCCGGCGCGCTCAGCGTGGCTTTCGTCGCCGTGAACCGGACAGAAGGAGGACCGGCACGTGGGGAGCCCGGGACCGAACCGCTGCTCGCGTCCCGGCTGACTCCGCACCCACGCCCAAAAGTGCTGGCCCAGTAAGGGGGGGCCACACTCTGCGCGAGGGGAACAACGTTTCCTCGCGCTCTTCAGGGGTTTCCAAATATGCTAATAAAGGCCGTCAGGCTCGTTACTTCGCCGAAAAGAGCACGACTTCTTTAGCTCCAATGTACGCCTGTTGCCCAGCTGCTACTAACGCCGGTAGCACCCGGGGCATTCCCACAGAAGGCTCGAGCCGCTCTCCTGCGCTCACTCCGCGCAGGCGGATCAAGCTTGAGGGCCGCAGCAGACACCACTACCAAGATCCGGAAACGTAGCGGCCAGTTGAAGGGGAGTGCGGCGGCGTCTGAAACTCCCTGACTCACCTACCGCAGCATGTGAGGCGGGTACAGCAGGCCTTGGGCTGGGTTACGCCTGCAGGAGCCGGGCCCCCACCTCTCCGCCAAGCTCCCATGCGGCGCACCACTGAGGATGAGGTCTCAGTGGTCTCGCATAGACGCCATCGCAGCGTTGGTTCACTCAGCTCCATCTGCACCCTACAAACTCATTACATCTAAATGTAATGAGTTTGCAGTTTTCTTTAATGACAAAGTTCAGGGCATCAAAAATGCCATCATTTCCACAACACAAATAACAAGCATGCAGCCACAGAGACACTTAGAGCTGAATCACTTTGCACCTGTAACTGACAGAACTGTTTTAGAGATCGTTAACAGTCTGAGTTCATCTACTTGCTGCCTGGACATGTTACCCACTAGATTTCTAAAGTCCGTCCTCAACAGTTTACTTTCACCACTCACTCACATTGTTAACATGTCACTTCAATCTGGAACATTCCCAAACGCGTTGAAAACTGCGGTCATTAAGCCTCTCCTAAAGAAGAGCAGTCTTGATGCCACAGTACTGAACAATTTCCGACCCATCTCAAATCTGCCGTTTTTTGGCAAAGTCCTTGAAAAAGCTGTTTACCAACAGCTTACGAACTTTCTCCAAATGAACAACTCCTTTGATGTTTTCCAGTCAGGTTTTAGATCCACCACAGCACTGAGACTGCGCTTATCAAGGTGACAAATGACATCCGCCTGAACACTGATGCAGGCAAAGTCTCAGTCTTGATCCTGTTAGATCTGAGTGCGGCTTTTGACACTGTCGATTAGAGCCCGACCGATATATCGGTTGGCCGATATTATCGGCCGATGTGTGTACCTGGAGGCATATCGGCTATCAGCCGATATGCTTGCTGATAGGGGCCGATATTTCACGTGGGCATGTGATATGTCATTAAAAATCTTAGATTCTTTACATTCTGTTCATTTAATCCAATTTACAGACAGATAAATGTCCAAATATGTGGCTCTGCGTCAGTATTTATCTACGGAGTATTTGTCTGCGTGTGTGTCCGTACTGTCCCTGAACACACCACAGAGTCGCGTCCCTCAGGGGTGTTTGTTTACACCCGCAGACACAGATCCAAACATTGAGATTATTTTCTTTTTACGGACAATCGGTTTGAGTCTGGATTAAAAGGACATTTATTAGTGCAGACTTGTGATGTGAGGAGGAGCCTGTGTGAGCGCTGAGTGTTGGAAATACATCAACTTTGAAGCTAGTTTTGGTCATTCGTTATGGGTTAGCTTCTGTAGCTCTCGCACATAAACAGGCTGTTTTCTATTGGCCTATTGTAAAGTGACTACATTGGCCGTATGTTTGTTACTGGATCTGCACTGATATGTAAATGAGTTGTGAATAGACGTGTGAATTATGACATTTGCGCACATAATTAATTACCGCGGCGCGCAGTATTTACGGCTAAAGGCTAATAGCGCTAGTTTCTTTACTAGTGATGGGTCCGTCGCGAACGAAATGACTCTTAGAAGCGGCTCTTTGAAGCGAACGACGGGAGCCTGATCCTTATTGGGAGCCGTGTTTTCTCTTTCTCTCACTTTTTTTCTCTTCACGCCGCGTGCAGACTTGTGGTTTGACAGCGGCAGCGGCTGAAAACGAAACTGAGAAATTTGCGTGTACGTAGGATTAAAAAAAAAAAAAAAAACGAGCATATTTGGCTGTAGTTTAGCATAAAATAAATAAGTCTCGGTTTAGTCCTTTTTCAGTCCTGGTTTAGACCTGGTTCAGTCCTGCTTTAGACCTGCTTGCAACAAAACAATCTGAAGAGCTGCTTGGGAGCCAAAAGAACCAGCAGCTTTTAGTGAGCCGAGCCAAAAGAGCCGGTTCTCTAAAAAGAACTGGAATACCCATCACTAGTGTCTAGAATGTGATGCAAAAATGAAACCAGGTGAGTCCCGCTCTGCCTCTGTTCCGTCTCGAAGAGACCGCTGCCCAGACCCAAACGCCCTCACACGGCCCTATCTCTGCCTGCACCAAACGAACATGTAATGGCCGCGACAGGGACCCCCGGTCTATACTGAAGTGAAGGGCAGGTTAGCGGTCGTTAGCTTGGCTCTTGCGAGTTTTCACCGTGTTTTTCTCACTTTGGGGCTGCATTCATTCGCTGTTTTCACATTTCTTTTAATAATAGCTTATAAACGTGCACACTTTTGTGTGGTGTGTTGAGGTATAATATTGTACCAAGTGGAGAATTATTACAATTATTTCAAACAAAAGGCTAGTAGTATTCTGTAAAAATAAAATATCTTCAAGTATGATGTCTTACCCAATACAATGTCTTAACATGCTATTGACCTTTAGTCAGTAGATACATCCTTTTTCTGTATTTTCTGTAGGGTGTGTCTTGCTGCTGGTTCACATGCATTCCCAGCTCCTAAAGGCTACAGTGGACAGATGAAGGCTCAAGCCATTAACCATCTCATCAGAAATTTACAGGTATGTCATGAAATGGTGAAATGTAGAACTGAAATGTAACCTCAACAATAATTTCATAATTGACTATTCCATTCCATTCCATTTTCTTCCGCTTATCCAGGGCCGGGTCGCGGAGGCAGCAGTCTAAGCAGGGACTCCCAGACTTCCCTATCCACGCACTCTTCCTCCAGCTCTTCTGGGGGAACCCCAAGGCGTTCCCAGGCCAGCCGAGAAACATAGTCCCTCCAGCGTGTCCTGGGTCTTCCCCGGGGCCTCCTCCCAGTGGGACATGCCCAGAACACCTCCCGAGGGAGGCGTCCAGGAGGCATCCGGAAAAGATGCCTCCTGGAAGCATAACTGACTAATTGAATTTTATATATGTGCTAAGTAGTTGTAATTTTTGTCTTAGTCTCATTCTGTTTTTGTTGTTTCTGTGTTTTGTTTCTTGTGGATCTTGCATTTAAAAATAATCTTTTCTTAGGGACTACAGTTTTTCAAATTACCCTTCAAGTTATTTATTAGAATGGTTCCTGTGTACAATAACATACAGCTCATGCAACAGAATAACCTGCTCAATAGGAACAAACAAATAATGATATATGCACCTTAATATATTTACTATATATTTACGTTTTGATTTTTATTCATGGCTCATTAAATATTGCATTGCCCGTTTCGCAAGGTGGTTACTTGAATATATTATATTTATTCTATTCTATATTTTAATTTACAGATCAGTATGGACACATTTCTTGCTGGTTGAGCCTGGACGGCCTTTCTACCTGTGACTGAAGTGGGAAGGACAAGGTTTTTTATGCCATCGTTGATCTGGCTGAATTTGGTGAATACTTCAAAGCATTTGGTCCTCAGACTCTCACAAATTTTACACCTGTATTCAAAGAACTGTTTACAACATGGACGTTGGATGTGTCAAAAGAAACCCCAAGAGTGACAAGACTGACTATTGAGGCAAAAAGTTTCTGCAATGTAACTGTTTCATAATTAGCAGGACTGCCTCTATTGTGAACATTGTTATGTTTATATAATCGAGAGAAGATCTTGTTTCAAACAGTCAGACATGCTCCTCTCATTTTTGGAGATGAGCTTGCCTGAATTTCATTCAAAACGAGATCTTGATTCATTCATCGACTGTTTGCATTGAAAAATCAACTTTAAAAAAGTAAATGAAAATCATTGTGACCAACTGCTGAGGGCACAGAGAATTACTGCTGTCAATTGGATTTTGCAAAAATAGTATTGTATGACTTGTTTAAATTGTGTTGATTGTATGATGTGCATTGTTTTAATACAAGTCAAGTTGAAATGGAATTTTATAGTGGTTTTCATTATTTTACATTTATAAAAGGGATTATGAACTAGAATGACCGCTGCATTTACACTGGATTTAGTGAAGAAAGAGTTACTAGTGAATAGTGTAATATGAAGAACATTCTACACTATTTCTACTTCATAAAGTGTTAAAACATAGCAATATAGAGTTATTAGTTTTTCACTATACACTAGTGTAAAAAAATCTAATCTTAATCAGTGTCAGATTCAACTATGAGGAGTGTGGTTACATCACTTTACCAGTGTTGAGCCTTCTACACTTTGGAAAGTGTAGTTTTAACTCATTTTATTGTGGACCCCATATGACATCGTAAAAGTGAATTAACACTCTTAAATTTGCTGTGCAGACTTAAACCCCATCAAGCTGGTTTTGAGATGAACTGGACAGAAAAGTGAAAGCCAAGAAACCTACAAGTGCCACACATTTATGGGAACTTCTGCAACAGACTTGGGAAGAACTTTATGAAGAATATTTGATTTCTATTGTAAAAAAAAAAAAAAAAAAAGCCACGAGTGTGTTCAGCTGTTATATCTGCCAAAGGTGGACACTTTCATGAATCAAAAGTTTAGAATATGTTTTGGTCAACAGTAGAGTAAAAAAATAGATAAAGTGTGGCATTCTAAAACTTCTGACCAGTAGTGTATATCTACTGAAATGTCTTTATAAAACTGTGTAATTATCAGTGGTGAAACATAATGAAGTGAACATAGTAAAATACTGCATTTAAGTAAAAATCTGTACTTAAGTTGAATACATTTTAAGTGGATACTTTTTACTTTTACTTCACTACATGTGAGAGAAGGCATCTGTACTTTTTTACTCTACTAGGATCTGAGAAGGCAATACAAATTATAAAAAAGAGACTGGCCCCTAAAACTGCCTGCCTGTCGCAATAACAAAACAAACAATTTGTGGGGGGGAAAGTCCAGGGCCGTTTTTTTTTGGTCCCAGTCCGCTCTTGTTTATGACTTTATTCCATTGACACAATAACAACAAAGCAGGATAACCCCAGTAAACCAAGTTTTAAGCAAATAATATTGTTAAAAGGCCTGGGCTGCAACAATCAGATAGCAGAATGAACTGGTAATAATTAGCCACAGAAGTTACTTATTCAACCCTCTACAGCTCAAATCTTAACATATAAATAACTAAATATATATATATATATCTTTTTCAAACCACCTTTCATTATTTCACTTTGTTCATCTCTTCAAAGCGTGTTTGCAAAGCACTATATAGATCTCCCCATTATTGCCAAAAAAAAAAAAAGAAAAAGATAAATATGGAGTCCAAAATACTGTTGGATCTATCATATATTGATAAGTCGATATAGTAGTTATCATCACAGGCCTATTTATTTATCTTGTTTAAGTTGTGCGGACCACTTTCTTTTTTCTTTGCCTATTTTGTATCACACCTGAGACATGATTTTGTTTTATTTGTCTTGAGTCCCATAGAACAGAACAAAAAAGTGTAAAAAATTCTCCCTTGTAACAGCATAAGCCTAGTAATTAATGTCTTACTACTTTTTTAGTCATCGAACATGTTTCACCTGACTCATACTTTTCATTCATTCATAAGTACAGACATGAATCATAGCTTAAAGGGCCCATATTACACTCATTTCTGATCTGTGTTATAATGTTGTTTCCTTATCACAAACATACCCAGAGTTGTTTCTTTCTTTTTTTTTTTTCTTTCGCACATGTTTAACACACAAACTCTGCAAACTGAGGCTGAGTTCTTCTCTCAAGTAGAAAACACTCTGTTCGACTTTGTGATGTCATGTGCTCCAAGAAGGGCTTCGATGTGCTTTTAAATTCCATCTTCACTAGAATCATTTGGATAATTTCAGCCCTGGAATTGTCTGTCTCTACTGAACTAAAGGTAAAAGGTAGACGTTAACTTGAAAACTATCACAACAACATTACAAGGTGGTCCGGGGAATTTTGAGCTTTGGGGTTCAATAATACAGGATTACTCAAAGGTGTAAATGGAACAAAACACAACTCCAGGTTTATTTTTGATGAGGAAACAACACTATAACATAGATCAGAAAATAGTCCTCTAAAAAACAGGATATTGTAATATTGTTGCTCCAGAAGAACTCCAGACAGATTGCTGAAATAATACAAAGAAGACCCATGAATTTCAGAACATATTACGGTCTAAACTACAGGTAAAATATATTCTGACTTTTTCCATCAAACACATGGCATGACACATATGACACTTTTTTTTTTTTGAAGACTACCTAAATGCCTGCAGCCTTTGTGCCAGTGTGATTTGTGATTTCCATTTGATTACTATATATTTTGCAGACTTAATCAAAAGTGAATCTTTTTGCATGCAATTATAAAACTATTGTTAAATCATGGTCATCCCCAGAAAACCCTCTCTGGGACATCTTATGAAACAAGCCCACACCTGTATGTATTCTGTACTATGATGTGATTAAATGTGAGATCTCGTTTGTGGAGGCCTGAGACGCGCTGTGTGAGTTTTCTGTGGCTCTGGTGAAGATGTGACAGGTGTTTCCTGTGTGAGAGAGACAGCGCTCTGTACGAAAGGACCAAAGGAAAAGGCTCAAAGACAGAGCATTGATAACTTTGACTGTTTGTGAGTTATGGAGCTTTTGAAAACATTTGAGCTAAAAAAAAAAAGACCGTACAGCAGTGGCACAGGAAATATCTTTAGTCTTTTTTCCCATCTTATCAGTTTGATGCCGTTAAACGATTGCAGCACCTAGTTTTAGACGTTAAAGGGCACAGGATCATTTCACTGAGCTAAAACTGGCACCGGCAGCAACTGAACCTCTGTCAATCCTTCATTCACCCCTAACTCCTGTCAAACTTATATAACTGTGAGGCAGAGGTGGGTAGAGGAGCCGAAAATTGTACTCACCCACTTCTTCACACTACTTCAGATTAATATCACTCGAAGTAAAAGTACAAAGTAATGGCCCAAGAAATAACTCAAGTAAGAGTAAAAAGGCATTTGGGAAAAATAATACTCAAGGAAGAGTAACTGTCAGGACATAACATCTGATTTAAAATGTAAAGTTAATGTAATCTGAAGGACAAAATATTAAATAATGCAGAAAATAATTTTCAAAGGATAAACACAAAATGAGAAAAACTTAATCATATGTGAGGCAGCGGTGCAAGAAACATATTTTCAAATCATTTCATAATGTCAACATAAAGCTTTTGTCACTTGTAGACTCACAGTGGGAAGAATAACCAAAGGTTTTACTCAAGAGTACTGTTACTTCAATAAAAATATTACTCAAGTAATAGTAAACGTATGTTGCTGGAAAAATACTCTGGAAAGTGCAACGCAGAGGTGAGTAAATACCCATCTCTGCTGTTGTCCACAGATTTGTTCACGTCCAGTCATGTGAGATGGGACAAGATCTCAAGCCTAAAGCTCCTGCAGTAAAATTGCTGCGCATATTTTCAAATATTTGGAAAATTAATTATCTTTTATCACATTTGCCTTAGAAAAGGACTGACTTTACTGACTTACACTAAATAAGCTGCAGTTCCAAAAGGTGCTACAAAAACTGAATAAATGTTATAATATCTATAAAACATAAATAGAATACATCTAAAAATATGAGACAAAAATTATGAACTGAATTGTACAATTTATTATAAGTATGTCTGAATATCGTCTTGTCTCATTCTCGTGGGTCCAGTGTCGTGTCGTGTCTCACCCATAACTGCAGTTTGTAAGAGTAACAATACTTAAATAAACAAATAAATAAATAAATACAACTATGACTTCATACAAATTACAAAGTTATCACTTTATTGTGGTCAGTTTTGTAATACATGAAATTAAAATAAGCCATTAGACAAGCTCTAGTTCACCATCAGATGATGCAGTAAAAAATGTATCCTCTATTTTCTCTACATAAAGGTCTATCTATCTAAAATCTTGTTGTTTTATGGTATCTTTTAAATTATGACTCTTTAAGTAAGTAATGTATTCATCAGTTTGTAATAGCAGCTATATTCTATATATAGAATGCACATAAAATATATATCTACAGTATATATTTTCATAAAATATTTAAGTCCTCAACAATTTAATCTGAATCATTGCGGCAGGTGATCAAGACAAATGATCAAAGTCAAATCTGTACGGTTTTTACTGTTATCATCTTAAATATCGTTTATAACGAGAGGTAACATGTTTAAAGCCTTTAAATACTAAACTGTTTTACATCCTGACATGTTGCATTGTATTTTAATTACATGCATGTATAAAAATATGGCATTTCTCTCTGCTGCTCCCTCACTTGGTGGACTTTGCGTGTACATCAAAAGCGAATTCTGCCGCTGTATAAAAAGACCCTTTTATTTTCTCTCATAGACAAATATTTTGCTCTATGAGCGACACAAGATGCAGAATTATTATATAGGTAAAAGAAAGATTTGAGTTACAGTTTGAATTAGATATACAGATAGTTAAATGTAATTTCTCATTAAACTTCTACCAAGCACATTCAATACAGAGACAAAGAGAGAAAATGAGTGCCTTGTGGTGTCTGTGGAAGTGAACAGTGAGATCAGAGGTCTGACCTCAGGAATCCACCGCCTGTTTCTCTCTAGAAGAATTTGAATTAATACTATACTCTATTGTATTATAAAGTGTTTAGAACATGACTATACAAATGTGAAATAAATTTAGGTTTTTACAACAAGATGCAACAAGAGATTTCTTTTTTGCATAAAGTATGTAGGTGTATGGCTCAGGGTTTTTCTTGTGAGTTCCTAATAGGTCTGAATGGGTTCTCTGAAGAAAAATCTTTACTTTCCAGTATATTATCTGTTTGAGATGCAGGAACTGGTGATGTCACATTTTATTATTTTATTCTTTATTTTCAGCAGCTCCAAAGCCATAATTATGTGTGAGAAGTGATCAAATAATTAAACAATTGAATCATTGTTTTCTGGTCAGATATCCATGGTCACCTCAGTATTTAAAAAAAAAAAAAAAAAAAGCAAATATGTATTATATCTGGATCAAATTTTAGATTTTTTTCACTTGGTACTTTATACTGGCCAAAAAAGATTTTTAAAATTATTATAACTTAAAAAAAACTGTTAATGATTGGTAAATGGTTAGATGTGTGCGTTGTTACATACGTACATGTAAAATAGCAAACATTAAAGATTAGTGATTGTCTGTCTGTGTGCCAAACATATACACTTTATATACACATTACTCTGATTTTATTTATATAATTTTGTACATTTGTTATTACATATTTGATTTAATGTGTAAAAATTCTATGGGGAGATCTAAAAAAGGAAGGGACAAGCCGAAAGATTACAGATTTCAGAGTTCAGTTTTTGATTCTAATTAGTTTGAATGACGCTCTGAATCAAATATAACATTTTGATTCATAAGACTTTTGATTATCTTCCCTTCAGTTGCCCCCACATGGTCAGCCGGAAACATAATAAATAACAAAAGTATCTTCACTTTTAATAATGAATTCACTTTTAATATATCTTATATATACATCTTATAGATATGTATTGATTATTTTAGTGCATGTTAAGTGTAAAATGTCTAGCTTCCCTGTAATGTTTAAAGTAAAAATATTAGATATAAAATGTTTGTAAGTGAATTGCAATGCTGTGAAATATGAAGTTCGCTTATTTGAATAAATCTAAATACACAGCTTCAAAATGTCATAATAAAAATGCTGTTGCTGGCTAAAATTAGTTTACAATTACGATTACGATTACAACATACTGTACATTATAAAATTGTAAACGTTGCCAGCTGGCATAGAGGATTGTCCAAATATATAAATAAAAAACATACACAGAAAAAAAAAAAAGCACATCTATTTAAATTTAAATCAAAGTCTTAAGAGTTGTCATGAGACGTCCGGAGGTCAGAACATTTTGCACTGGTTAATACTAAACATACGGCGGTGCTCCCTCTTCTTGGCCTTGTTCACAGCTGTTCGGACAGCACTCTCAAAGACCTGTTGCACCCCGCGGTTATTCAGAGAGGAGCACTCTAGGTACCCTTTGGCGTGGATATCACGTGCCACCTGTTTGCCCTGTGTTGGCATAATGCAGTGCCCTCTGTGCACACCCGTCTCCCGCAGGTCGGTCTGAGTGGCCACCACCAGCACGGGCACTTTGGGCAGAAACTCCCTGATCTCTGATATCCATTTGTGCTGCACACTGGCCAGGGAGTTTGGGTTAGCCACAGAGTAACAGATCAGAACCACATCAGCCTGGTTGTAGGACCGGGGGCGGATCTGCCTGAAGTTGTCGCTCCCAGATGTGTCCCAGAGCCCTAGGTTGATCTGCACCCCATCCATGTACACCTCCACGCCTGTGTTCTCAAACACAGTGGGTTTGTAGCAGTCAGGGAAAGTCTCAGAAGTAAAGCGGACCAACAAGGCTGTTTTCCCCACTGCACTGTCCCCAACCAGGACACACTTCACCGACATCTCAGGCATGCCGTTCATGGTGCTGGAGCTTAATCTGGACTCTTTTTAGCTACAAAAGGCTCCCCAAGGTCCGTATCTTAGTCCATACAATAAATTACACGAGCTACATAACTCGCTGACACATACGTGACACTCAGTGTTTGAAAATGCTTCAGATTTGTCCGCCTCAATGTGTTTGGAGTCTTTGTAGTCAAATTTAAGATCCCAGATACTGCCAGTTCTGTTCAGACGACACCAGCTCGTCCTTGAGGAGGAAAATGCACTAAAACAAGAAAAACATCACAAAGTTAATTTTGTTATTATTTTTACTACATCATATTGACCGTTTTCTTCTCCCAATACATTAAAGCGGAAGTATTTTTCAGTGGCATGCAAAACGAGATTAGAGATTTGATTTTTTGGTAAATGCTACTCTTAATGCAGGACCAATTATCATAATTCTTCCTGTGTCATCAGGTGTAGTTGGCTTTATGGTTTTGTGAATTCACATACACTTTTTTCACTATAGTCTTCAAAAAGTCTTCATCTTTAGTTAAGATCTAATTGTAATGTGCATTCATCCAGTAGACCAACACCCTCAAGTAAGTGAGACGACATGAAAAAATGAAAAAAACAAAAAAAAAACACGTTTACATCATTATACTGTTATTACACCAAATTGGCTCTTTTTATTTCCTAATACATGCACACAGAATTATTTGGTAACAAGATTATAGATAAGATAAGATTATTACTGGTAGATACTATACTTATGTGTAAAGAAAATATGGGCAGACCATAATTGGTCCGGTCTCATCAGGTGTAGTTTGCTTCATGGTTTTGTGAATTCGCATGCACTTTTCTCACTGTAATCTGATTCAATATAACCTACTTTCCAATTGTCTTCATTGTTTAGTTTAGTTCTAATTTTAACTAAGGTGTGTTCAAATTTCAGAAGACGTACACCCTGAAGTAAAGTAGAGGGCTAAATGAAAAAAGAAACTAAAACATAGTTACAGTTCGGTCATTTTATTTTCTAGTGTCTTCACCGCCCAAAAGATTTAGAACATAAAGATTTCTACTTACTGTTGTGTGTTGAAGTCTCAAGCTGAGTTTCGTCTGTTGAACTTGGAGTTGAGATTTTGTTACATATGATTTACTTAATGTGAATTGTAATGGTATGTTAATAGAGAAATTCAACAGTTACTTGAAGATTCTAACTCGTGTTAAGTGTTACAAAACCTCAATATGACGATAGGAAGCAATGCGAGAGTTTGTGCGCATCCGCTGTAGGCCCGGTTTCATTTCACTGTCGCCTCCCACACTGCAGCTGCCTCACTCTGATACTCTGAAACACAGACACCAGGAAACAGACACCTGCAGCACAAGTAATAATGAACAATATCAAACAGACACTAGATAATATAGCCCACGTAATAAATACCTTTAAAACTGCACTGTGTAACTTTTTGGTTGGGGGGCTCTCACCTGTTTTTTTCTGTGGATACATCACTGCATTGTCTGAAATGGAAATATTTAGCCTATATGTTTATTAAGGACATCACAATCACATTAGACAAGCCAAATGCTTTGTTTTGAGTGTTTTAGCACATTTGCTTTTTCACCACCTCTCCATAAAAAAATGTAGGCTACATACATAAAAACATAATAAATTGGAATCATACAATTGTTTCCAAATTTAAATCAGCTTTAAGCAGGTCCACAGTCTGGCCCCTTTGGCAAAGAAAGAGGACTGACCAAAAGTTGTTCTGTACATTGGGACAACACTATTACCACTAGTAGCACCTCTTGTAATAGCTGTGTGCAGTTTATAGTCCTAGCAAATACTGAATTCACTGGTAAATTAGAGCTAAGACACTTCAAAAAAAATATGTTTAAATAATCTTTAAAATTTCACAGTGGTGCCAGAGTCTGTGCTTTTTGTTAAGGACCTCAAGAGTTAATTTGTATAATGAACAGGAAGGCTTCAGTGTGGTTGAAGAGGCCTGCGACCATGCAGTGATAAAATAATATAAGTGCAAAGAGATCATTGCGTTCATAGTTTTGAAATCTGGAATGGTATGTCTTTGCGTATAAAACAAAAGCAGCCGAGATTAGTTTTCATCTTCTTCTCTAAGTATTTTGTGTCACTGATAATTTTGACATTTTAGAATAAGGTCAAGGTACTACAAACCTCACCGACTGTTTGGAATTTAAAAAATTTTAATTTTTACATTCAGAGTCAAGTGACACTCTAAGCCATTTTGAGACCTGCTGTAAGGCATGACTCAAATGTTCACTAGCCTGGACAAGACGTTTTTGCTGATACACACAACACAGGATCATCAGCGTAGATTTGGACGTTAACAGTAGGACAGCATTGAGGGAGGTCATTAATATATTTGGAAAAAAGCAGAGGGCCAAGTACAGATGCCTGTGGCACTGCAAAGGGATTGGATAATATTTGGGATGTAGCCTCATTTACCCAAACACACTGAGTTCTCCTTTTAATATAAGAGGTGAACAATCTACAAATTCACAATACTGAAGTAACTTTCCCAATAGAATACTATGACTGACCATCTCAAAGGTACAGTGAAGAAAGACTGCCCCAACTAATTGCCCTTTAAGAATAAAACCAGCCATAACTGCAAACAAACACATTTATTTAAGCACAAAAATTCTGAATATAGTAGGTAAAACCATGAACTGAATAGTACAAAAATACAAAATCTGTCAAAATGGTAATTTACTTTTATAGCATTTATTTTTATAGCATGTTTCAACCTGAGAACTTCATATAATTTAATTATTACAAACATAAAACCATATTTCTTATTAACTGGCCTTAAAATGAGAACTCAGCTTGTGTTTGTTGAATATTTGTATGACACCAAACCACATGACCTGCCACAATCAGGACCAACTGGCAGGAAATGGCAAAAATGGTTCTCTCAGGATAAGATGATATAATTTAAATAAAAGTTAGTTAAAATCTATTACAAATCTTTATTGTTGGAAGTGTAGTTTCATAGTGCAAACTCAATACCCCAAATCAAATATAAAGTAAAAAAAATAGATCATAAAATCTTTTAAAAAACTGTTGGCAGTGCCTCAATCAGTCCCTTATTTAAGTGTATAAATTATTCCCCCACTGTACCTACCTCATTAAGTACAGTGTAGTTGTTGTTCACATTAAGGTGCATTGCAAATTATAGTGGGACTCAAATTCCTTTCAAAAAATACAATTTGCATTAATAAGACATGAGTGAAACGGCTGTTCTGCTTAATGAAAAACAATAAAACCACCTCTAAAATAGCTGCAGTTTTTTAGAGAATTAAATAGAGTTTGCACTTGAAATAAACTCATAGACCATGTGTAAGTAGCATATTTCAAAGAAACCAGGTTCATTTTACTTCAAAGAGACCAACACGAGGCCTGGTTTGGGCTCCGTAAACCTGAAGACGAGAAGAGGAGAGAGAAGCGGGTGATGGCAACCGTTGAGACAGTGCAAATACATGAGTTTGTGTGTACTTTTTGTTTGTACCTGTAGTGTTTGTTGGTGAGGTAGTCTAGAACAGCGGGACGGATGCGGGCCACGCCTCCTTGGCTGTGGTTCCCCCTTCCTGTGATGACAGAGAGTTGAGGGCGACAAAGGCCACGCTCACAGTCTATGTCGAAAAAGTCAAAAACAGAAATGCACACGAATCAGTTTAGGGTCTTGTCTTTGTAACTGCAACTATACACTTTTATTAGTATTTAATTTGGAAGATACTAGAAAATAGAAGATAAAAGAAAAAGTCAAAAACAGAAATGCACACGAATCCGTTTGGGGTCTTGTCTCTGTAACTGTAACTAGACACTTCTATTATATATTATCTCTAATAAAATAATAATAAGTTTAAAAATTATGCAAAACAGTGTATATAATAAATATATGTAACACGCTCATAGTTTATGCCGAAAAAGTCAAAAACAGACATGCACATGAATCAGTTTGGGGTCTTGTCACTGTAACAAAAACTATACGCTTTTATTATTTATTATTTTATTCTGCAAAATTCTAGGTAATAGAAGAATTAGTATGAAAGCCAGTGTGTGTAATAATTATGTGTATCACGCTCACACTCTACATCGAAAGAGTCAAAAATAGAAATGCACACGAATCAGTTTGAGGTCTTGCCTCTGTATATGCAACTGCACACATATATTATCTAGTGTCTTTCAAAATAAATTAATAATTATACACAAAAATCACTATGAAACACAGTGTACATAATAAATGTAATATGCTCACATTCTACGCTGAAAACATCAAAAACAGATATGTATATATGATTCACTTTGGGTTCTTGTCTCTAACTGCAGCTTTACACTTCTATTGTGAAGTATCTTTCAAAATAAAATAAAAATAATACAAAAATTGCTAAGAATACAGTGTCCATAATCAGTGTGTAAAATCTTAAGCTAGGCACCTGTGATTTGGCCTGTCACAGTAACAAATTTTGTGTTTTTTCTTGAGAAAATATAGACAGTAAATGATAATATTGAAACTACTTTATGCCACTGACACGAAGCAGGATAATTCCAGAGGCACATTTTTAAATAGAGTACCATTAAAAGAGCTGCAATAAATAAATGGCAGAATGAAGTAATAATTAGTCACAGAAGTTATTTGTTCTACCTTCTAAAGCTCAAATCTTACATCTTAAAAATAACAAAAATCTCCTCACTATGGCAAAGAAATCTGAATACACAATATGAAATGAATGAGTGAAATATTGAAAATGTATTGTTACTGTATTTTGTTCCAGCTCTCATATATTGAACCATAAGTCAATATAGTATTATCATGACAGACCAACCTGTGGTTTTCTTTGCTAAAACTTCGGTCAAATGCTCCAAAGCTTCGTCCACATGAAGCCCATGAAGGTCTAAGATGTTCTGTGGCAATAAGGAGGAGTTCACCCTCTCAAAGATTTGGACCGCTGCTCTGTGATTAGCCTCCCGCATCCTTTGGCCATGCAAGTGACCCTACAAAAATGCACTGAATATTAGTTATAAAAGAAGATGCAACCAAGTACTATAATTTTAATTTGTCTATTTTGAGTCTAATTGATGTTGCTAACCTGCTGAGCGTAAAATGATGCTACTTCCTTGTGCCCTTGTTTATAGGCCTCTGCTGCTTTGGCAAAACTCTCGAGCTGTCTTCTCCTCTGCAGATTGGCCTCAGCTCTAAAGTCCTCATACTCGGGGTCCTCTGTGTCCTGATAACCGGGCATGACTGGTTCCACTGGTTTCTACATCGTGTTAACAAAGACGCTCCAATTACAGATGTGTTTAAACAGATCAAACACTGTGAGCTTCTGCAGACAATACCTTGTCCCTGTCTCTGCTGCCTGATCTGGGGGTGATTCGCGGAGCTTCTGGTGCAACAACTGTCTTAGCAGGACCCTCGCCCAATAAAGAGCGAAGAAACAACTCTGTCTGAGTCAAAGAGTAACTAGAATAACAGAAGAAAATTGATTTAAAAAATAACATGGTTACAGAAATTAGATTAGAAAGCCATACATGTTTAGTATTAACTCTACTATATATGCAATAATAAGTCATAAAATGATTAATTAATTAAAATCAATGAGTCTCACTTGTGATCTTTGAAGATGTCCTGAAGGAAATGTCTATCAATAGTGGGAAAGAGAGCAAACAACTGGTCTTCTTTTAGTAGAGTGGCCCCGTCACGCTTATCCACATCAGTCTGACTGCGTCTCGCCTTAAATAAGTAAATATATATTTAATGATTTGATTTTAAAACTTGAAAGCTGTACGTGTTTTACCTTCTGTCTGTTTTCTTGTAAAGCCATCTCCTCCTTAATGATATCTCTGAGAGACACGTGTTGTCGGGACACATGCCAGTGATCCATAAAGGGCAGGTGACTGTCACTATCTGGACGATGGTTCTGATGTGAAGAACAGTCTCTGCTCCTCTGGGGCCGACCTGGACTGGATCCTGCCGCAGCCCAGTTTTGTGGTTTACTCCAATGAACAGAACCTGAGAAAAATACAATTTAGATGCAAAGAAATACTTTTTCTAAATAAACATTGTATGTTGTGTTTTGAATAACTCACTTTCTTGAAGCAATTGAAAAGAAAGAGCTGCTTGTTTTTGCCTTTCCTAGAAATAAATTCAGGTTTTAAATTTGATACCATCATAATATTGATACAATACCACTATCTTAAACTCACTTGAATACTTTCTTTCCATTTTTGATGAAGAAGTTTGGCCAGATTCAGATCCATGTGAAGTACACAGTCCTCCGGGCAGCCTGTATCTGCATACAACAGAATGAGTTCTGTAACTTAACCAGATGAGTTTATTAAGGTACCTGGGTCCATTACCTGGGTCCACTCCAACAGGGCCAAACAGTTCAGTCAGCTGTAGAGCCAGTTCAGTGGGTAATTTTAACTCCACACTCTGAATATCCATGAGTGCTTTCCTTTTTTGTTTTACATCTTTCATCTTGGCCTTTACTTCCGCCCTCTCTTTTTCTTCTATTTCAAGTTCTTCAAGCTCAGCCTGTAAAAGTCTATGGACCTCATTTATACTACTGATGTCATCCTCCGATTCTTCTGTTAAACCTTCAACTCTTTCTGCATCTCCCAAACTGCCCGAGTCACATGGCATTGTCGCCCCAGGTGTAGTGCTTTGATTCAGATATGATGATTTTTCCTTTATTTGCTGAGGTATAAGATCGCATTTGTTGCCATTTTCTTGAGAAATATTATTATCCAAAATACTAGAAGATGCAGTGGAGTCACATTTGTTAGAGTCGATATTTTCGCATGATTCCGATGCTGTGAATGTTTGAATCTCCTCCACAACCACATCTGGTCTTGGGTCAGTCATCATCTCATACTGCCAGGTATTTAACACATCAGAGCTTGGCCTATCTTCACTTTCTGTGCATGATAATGAAGAAGAGGGAAGCTCTTCTTCATTCTCATCATCTCTAAAGAACCTCTCTCCTGAGTCTAGCAGCAAATTGGTTGTCCATTCAATGTCTCTCTGACATTTTTCAAACAAGTCTTCTAACATGTCCAATGCGACCTGTTTAAAATGGCGCCTCAGAATAAGCAGATTTTCAGTTACATCTTTACTTGTCCCAAACTCCTTCTCCTCCACTTGGGTGCTTTTTTCATGGACTACAGAATATGGGATCTCATTATGGTCAGTTGGATTAATTGAAGCAGTGGAGCAGAACATTACAGGTACATAACCTGAGGGGCTGCTACATAAAATTCGGAAACTGCAGGTGGACGTGACGGATGTATCAAGACTATTTTGATTGATACGCCACAGTAGGGCAAAGTCATGTGGTTCGGTTTGGGTAGAAGAGCCTGGAGGTGCTTCATAGTCTGCCATTATGTTGGTTTCCGTACACAGCTCACAGTCAGTTTTAAGATCAAGATTTGGCTCATCATTTGATTGATCTGCAGCAGAACTTTCAACAGAATCCACAGATGCTTCAGGACAATTCTGTGTAAATGTCAGGGCTAGTTTACATGACTTCCCCGAGCGACGATTATGACGCTGCTTGCGCTCCTGGCTTCCTGTTGCATCACTTATTTGGCTGCTTTCGGATTCACCCAAACTCTCAAACTCAGGACCCTCAGAATCGTCATCACAATTTGCAGTATTCTGACTAGCACCAAGTTCCAGATTAAACTCATTTCTTCCAACTAAAGTGCGTCCAGCAGCTTGTGAATCAAAAACACAGTCTGGGAGTTCTCCTGTGCTCCTTTCTTTAATTTCAGATTGACTGGCATCATTATCTCCAGAGCTAGCAGAAAGGGGCGATAAAGATGAAGAATCAGTATTAACAGGATCTGCTCCTGTTTGAATCAGATCTAAAAGCTTTTGCATCTCTGTAAAATCAGGTTTTGGTGTATCTGTTGTTTTAGAAAATTGATTTGCTGCTCTTTCTGTGGCCTTGTTGCGAAGTCTCTCATGTCTCCTCTCTGGACGCTGGTCTAGTGAAGCTGTGGAGGGCCAGTCTCCTTCAAAGTCAAAACTTTTTTCAACTGTGATGTCTCTCTGCTGTGACAGAATGTCCATTGCAGATTTATATCCATCTTTTGACTCACCTGCAGGTTCTGAAGTGTCTACACCAGACTTTCTATCAGACCGTTCCCTTTTCATCCTTTGCCCAATAGACTCAGAGAATGCAGCAGGTAACTCATCAAGGCTATTGTCACTGATAATAATATGCTCCACATTACTGTCAGGAATTATCTTGGCAAACTCCCCCATGCCCAAATCAGCATTTTCCCGTTTGTCTTTGAAGTACTTGTTGTCATGGGCGACAGAGATATCAGGTAGAGAGGGATCAGCTTCCGTGCGAGATTTGGCATTTACTTCACCAGATTCCCCTACAATGTCAGGGCAAGGCACTTCAAGTGCCAACCTTAAAAAATACATAGATACAAACTAATTAAACAAAACAGTTATTTATTAACACTTAAAAATGTTTTTTAAAGTGTAAAGAATATTTTATGTATATTTAATCTATGAAAAAACTAAAATTTACTAACGCTTCCCCAGTTTCAGTTGCCACTGGCTGTTTCCTCTCTGGCATCTGTGAGCCCAAAATGGACTTGACTGTGACGAAGCGCTCGTATCCACAGAGCATACGTCGTATTCTCTCCATTGGCACACCATGCTTAGTGCGTCTGTACAAATACACAAAGGACAATATTTATTAAGTATATTCGCAACACCATATTGCAACATGTTTATTTATTACCTTTCCAGTTCTCGTGGTTTGTTTTTCCACCAAGTGTCTGGCTCTCTGAACAAAACCTTATAACTGTGTTTCAATGCCTAGATAAAGATAGAAGTACACTTAGAATAGAATACAGATAGAATACACATATTTAAGAAGTGTTAGCCAAACCTGAACCACGTAGGGTCTCATTTCCCATCCACACATGTTGGTATTATCGATAATGATAGGATTAGCCCCTCTTTCAAATGCTTGCCTGGCTTTAAATAAAAACATTTGAGAAGGTCAATCAATACATATAAGTTATTCCAGCTTGAGCTGGATCTTCATCCTGTACTTTATTATTGAATCAAGCATTTACCTCGATTGTGATTCCAGCTGTGAGCCTCTCCTAAGACAGTTGGGTCAAAGCGATATTCTCCATTAACTATAAAATAGTCATCAGTGCTGAGGATGACTCCACTGGGATTGTGCTCCAACAGAGCTCTGCAAAAAACGAGAAAATAGGTTAAAAATACTATATACTTCAATTTTCACCAAATACAAGTGAAAAACAGTTTATGAGGTTTTATTCACTCTGCTTGGGAAAAATAGTCACTTTAAAATGTAATCTGATATAAAAAAGCATGGCTCTTGAGCAAAGATAATGTACAACTTTACAACATTAGATAAATTAACTTTATTACTATCGCTGCTGAGTACTGCTATTTATTACCTCCGCCAAGGAGGTTATGTTTTTGCCGGCGTTTGTCTGTTTGTTTGTTTGTTTGTTTGTCTGTTAGCAATATAACTCAAAAAGTTATGGACCGATTTTGATGAAATTTTCAGGATTTGTTGGAAATGTGAAAAGGAAGAACTGATTTCATTTTGGGGGTGATCCGGAAGAAATCCTGGATTCTGGATCACTTTGAAAGTTTAGTTAACCGAGATATTGAGAAACAAAATTTTTGGCCCCATTTACCACAATGTTAATTATTGACCAAACCCCATGAAATTTGACTCAGGGATGGACAATGGGATCCTCTTTCATATTCCAAAGGCTGATCCGGATCTGATCCAGAAGACTGATTTTATCGCAATTCATATAAAAAATGGGGGTAGTCCTTGGCGGAGGTCTGCGCTCTCTGAGTGCTTTTCTAGTTCAGCAGTACAATAACAAACAATAAAAGAATCACAATACAGTGCAAGATTTTTACCATAATCTACTTATACTGTTTAAAAATAGTTAAATACCTTGCCAAAGTTGATTTGCCTGAGCCTGGTGGTCCACGCAACAACACAAGGACCTTCCCTTCCAAATGCAGCCTGTTGGACTGTGGGCCTGTGGTTTGTGGAGGGGGCAAAGCCCAAGGTCTGGGTGCAGAAGAATGTGCCCTCTGAGGTGTCTGGGTGTTCGGCCTGTGCCAGTAGAAGGGGTGCCTTGGCCCTCTGAGCCAATCAGGGGCCACAGGAGTGATAAAGGCTGAACCTTGGCTTTCATGAACGTGGGGCTGAAATGCTGGTGCTTCAATGTTCCAGCTGATGGATGCAAAGCTATCCATGTTCTCATAAGAAGGGCCTATCTTCGTTCCTGTGGCCTCAGATACCATAACTTCTTCAGGATTTGTGTTGTTTTGTTTTGTGTACACGTGAAATGCAGAAGAATGACCAGACGTAATGAGATCAACAGACAGTGTGCTTTGGTACTGGGCAGTTTCTGTTGGGACCTGTTCCTCTCGTACATATATGTCATCAAATGTACTGAGTTGATCAAGAGGAGATGAAGCACCAGAACTTTGCACGCTTCGGTGAGAAAGTGACTTCTCTGTAGAAGTCCCACTGCACAGAGGTTCCAGGTGAGACTGCAGATCTTCAGTCACAATCACAGTTTGACTGAGCGACTGCTGGTCTATTAGGTTTGCCTGTGCACTGAGTGACTGCACTTCCTGATCAACTAAATAGTCCAAATCTTCTGTTATAAAACAGGTTGGGGATGTGGATGACTCATGTGTTGTCTGGTCTGTTTGAGATGGAGGTTCGGCAAAGTGCTGGGGCGTGAGTAGTTCTGCAGCAGTTCTCTCAAACCCAGACACAGAGGCTGAAACAGGCTGTGGCTCAGCAGCTGTGACGGATAACTCCAAAAGAGCATCCATTGCATTTTCAACTACACAGAAAAATAAGAAAAGGAATTTATGTCAAGTTCATTCACAATCAGGAAGTTTCACAAGCCTATAATTAAATTCTATTTTTATCCATCCTGTCTCTTCAGTTTTTATCTACTTATTCTTTTTTTAATGCAGCCTACCTAAGTGTGAGTGTTTTTAATACATATATTTAGTATTGCGGAAGTGGGACAGTCACTGAAACTTGTGATTTTATTATGATGAAGTAAAATATTTTATAGTCCCAGCCCTCTCATTCAGAGTTAATGTTTTATCATTTGAGAAGTGAAAGCAGTTGTAGGGGAAAGGTCAGAGAGATCAATACTTATCAAAGTGTATTTAGTGTTGGGCGTCTGTGTTTTGCTCTACCTTTAAAGTCACACTCGGACAACACAATCTCTATAATCTCTGGGTCCAAATGCGAGAACATCTCCTGCATGTTTCTCACGATGTCCTCTTTTGAGAGCGAGGACGCGGGGAAAAAGTGGCTCGCCATTGGAGGAGGTCGGTAGCCCGGGTTGGTTCCCCTTTCTAGCTGCAGACCACTCGGGACTCTAGCAGGGCTTTGGCCACTCTTCTTTTTTCGAGGCATTTGTCGATAGCTTTCATTAGCTGTAACGCGAGGCCAACTCTTTCAGCAGTCACAAAAAAGGAACAGGTAATAAACGCATGGTGCTAGACAAATCTACTGCATAACAAGTCCGTGTCACAGCGTTAAAACAGCGCTCCAACAAGTAGATCAGCCTTCCTGTTAAAATCCAAATA